AAACTGTATACGGACATTTCGAAAGACGTAGTATAAACCAGCCTTTAGTCTTGAAATCATTGGTTGTTTAGTACACTACCGTACTCACTGTTTAGCACTTCGCCTCACATGTGAATCCTTAAAGAGATGTGTGGGGCTAAGGCTTAAGATTGTGTGAACCATGCTGGATGGGTGTAGACAAAGAGCTCTCCTGTAGGTGTACCAAAACATTCAAGATTTTCTCAGAAGTGGGGTTACAAGTTCATCAATTTTCAAAGCAGAATTACTTTCCCATTGTTCCTCAACTGTAGTGTATGATATACCATTTTCTAGTCTCTACTTTTATCCAATGTAAAAAACACCATTTACAATTTTACTACATAAGACCAAATCGAGCCGGTCGGTCACATATGTGCACTTCAGGAGACAGTTGTATGATATTTTCTGTTTAACACAACACAATCACACATCCATGACTTGACACAGCCATAGCTTGGTAACATCAGGTGTACTCTGGGAACTGTAGGCCTCTTAGTTCAGAAAATCACAAAGGTGTTTTTGATTTTGTTTCATTTTTTAGTTGTTGAAGACTGATCACACCAAATCAGAAAGACAACAGTTCATCAGACTTTGGTGTAGGCTACAGTACGTTCTGACTTGGATCCCCTTCCCGGTGGCTCAAGTTTGTTTTTTAGATCATAATACATTCCCTTAACCTGAAACTAAAGCATGTAGAAAATGTAAATGTATTCTCACTAAAGGATAAAGTGATTGAGATATTAATGGGAAACTTACAAGACACTAAATAATACATTTTCTTTCATTCACCCTAACTGACATAAGTCTAACTCTTGCGATTTCTATATCAACAGAGTTGATTGGAATTTGTTTCAATACAGCTCATGCAAATTAAAACAGTAGACAGTAAAAACAGTATCACAAAATAAAAAACAAAACACCCTAAAAGCATTCATATTTGATCAATACTCTAGATATTGAGGGCCACTGTATTTGTATTTGTATTTATTATGGATCCCCAAGGCAGCAGCTACTCTCCCTGGGGTCCAGCAAAATTAAGGCAGTTATACGTTTTAAAAACATTACAATACATTCAGAACAGATTTCACAACATATTAAGCGTGCCCTCAGGCCTCTACTCTACTACCACATATCTATAACACAAAATCCATGTGTACATGTGTGTATAGTGTGAATGTTATTGTGTGTTTGTATGCATGGGTCTATGTTTGTGTTGCTTCACAGTCCACGCTGTTCCATAAGGTGTATTTTTATCTGTTTTTTAAATCAAATTTTACTGCTGGCATGAGTTACTTGATGTGGAATAGAGTTCCATGTAGTCATGGCTCTATGTAGTACTGTGCGCCTCCCATAGTCTGTTCTTGACTTGGGGACTGTGAAGAGACCGCTGGTGGCATGTCTTGTGGGGTATGCATGGGTGTCCGAGCTGTGTGCCAGTAGTTCTGTGTGCCAGTAGTTCAGACAGCTCGGTTCATTCAACATGACAATACCTCTCACAAAAGTAGTGATGAAGTCAATCTCTCCTCCACTTTGAGCCAGGAGAGATTGACATTCATATTATTAATGTTAGCTCTCTGTGTACATCCAAGGGCCAGCCGTGCTGCCCTGTTCTGAGCCAATTGAAATATTTAGGATTAACTTATTCCTTGCTACCCATTCTGAAACTAACTGCAGCTCTTTGTTAAGTGTTGCTGTCATTTCAGTCGCTGTGGTAGCTGACGTGTATAGTGTTGAGTCATCCGCATACATAGACACACTGGCTTTACTCAACTATAATAATAATAATAATAATATGCCATTTAGCAGACGCTTTTATCCAAAGCGACTTACAGTCGTGCGTGCATACATTTTTGTGTATGGGTGGTCCCGGGGATCGAACCCACTACCTTGGCGTTACAAGCGCCGTGCTCTACCAGCTGAGCTACAGAGGACCACAACTATGATCGATAATGTCAAAAGCCACACTGAAGTCTAACAAAACAGCCCCCACAATCTTTTTATCATCCATTTCTCTTAGCCAATCATCAGTCATTTGTGTAAGTGCTGTGCTTGTTGAATGTCCTTCCCTATAAGCGTGCTGAAAGTCTGTTGTTTACTGTAAAATAGCATTTTATCTGGTCAAACACAATTTTTTCAAAAAGTTTACTAAGGGTTGGTAACAGGCTGATTGGGCTATTTGAGCCAGTTAAGGGCACTTTACTATTCTTAAGTAGGGGAATAACTTTTGCTTCCCTCCAGGACTGAGGACACACACTTTCTAGTAGGCTTAAATTGAAGATATGGCAAATAGGAGTGGCAATATCGTCCACTATTATCCTCAGTCATTTTCCATCCAAGTTGTCAAACCCTGGTGGCTTGTCATTGTTGATCGACAATAATACTTTTTTCACCTCTTCCACACTTACTTTACGGAATTCAAAATTACAGTGCTTGTCTTTCATAATTTGGTCAGATATACTTGGATGTATAGTGTCAGCGTTTGTTGCTGGCATGTCATGCCTAAGTTTGCTAATCTTGCCAATGAAAAAAATCATTAAAGTAGTTGGCAATATCAGTGGGCTTTGTGATGAAGGAGCCATCTGATTCAATGAATGATGGAGCAGAGTTTGCCTTTTTGCCCAACATTTCATTTAAGGTGCTCCAAAGCTTTTTACTATCATTCTTTATGTCATTTATCTTTGTTTCATAGTGTAGTTTCTTCTTCTTTTTATTCAGTTTAGTCACATGATTTCTCAATTTGCACTATGTTTGCCAATCGGTTGTACAGCCAGACCTATTTGCCATCTATTTTGCCTCATCCCTCTCATCCCTCTCAACCATACCATTTTTCAATTCCTTATCAATCCACAGGGATTTAACAGTTTTTACAGTCATTTTCTTAATGGGTGCATGCTTATTAGTAACTGGGATAAGCAATTTCATAAATGTGTCAAGTGCAGCATCTGGTTGCTCGTCATTACACACCACAGACCAACAAATATTCTTCACATCAACAACATAGGAATCACTACAGAACTTAATGTATGACTTCTTATACACAATATTAGGCCCAGCCTTTAGAACTTGTTTTATTGTGATCACTACATCCGATGGATTTGGATACTGCTTTCAAACAAATTTCTGAACATTAGTAATGATCAATACATGTTGATGATTTCATTCCTGTACTGTTTGTAATTACCCTGGTAGGTTGATTGATAACCTGAACCAGGATGCAGGCGCTAGTTACAGTTTGAAGCTTTCTCTTGAGTGGGCAGCCTGATGAAAGTCAGTCAATATTTAAATCACCCAGAAAGTATACATCTCTGTTGATATCACATACATTATCAAGCATTTCACACATGTTATCCAGATACTGACTGTATAGCAGCTTCCCACCAGAATGGGCTTTAGGTGAGGCAGGTGAACCTGTAGCCATATTACTTCAACAGTATTAACATGAGATCCTCTCTAAGCTTTACATAAATGTGGTTCTGAATATAGACCGCAACACCGCCCCCATTGGCATTTCTGTCTTTTCTGTAAATGTTATAACCTTGTATTGCTACCACTGTATCATCAAAGGTATTATCACTGTATCATCAAAGGTATTATCTAAGTGAGTTTCAGAGATTGTCAGTGTCACGCCCTGGCTCTGGGGACTCTTATATGTTGAGCCAGGGTGTGTAGGGTCTATGTTTTGTGTTCTATGTTCAGTTTCTAGTTCATGTGTTTTCTAGGTTGGCCGGGGTGGTTCTCAATCAGAGGCAACGAGAATCAGCTGTTGCTTGTTGTCTCTGATTGGGAACCATACTTAGGCAGCCTGTTGTGCACTTGTGTTTTGTGGGATCTTGTTCCGTGTTGGTTTGTGTTCATGACCGAGGACTTCACGTTTCGTTTTGTTATTTGTTACATTGTGAAAAGTACTCATTAAAAGAGATGTACGCATATCACGCGGCGCCTTGGTCCACTCATTATGACGAGCGTGACAGTCAGAATATGAATGTCATCTGTTACTAGCAAATTATTGATTTCATGAACCTTGTTTCTTAAGCTACATATGTTCACGTGGGCTATTTTTAACACTTTTCTGGGATGCTTGATTATTTTTCTTGCTTTACTGGGAAGCTTAGCAGAGGTAGACATACTCTGGGTTATTTTTATTAGTGCAGGGTGAGCTGCACACAGTGGACTTCCTACTAGGACACACCACCTCAGTGCTAACAGTATTACTCTGGTTCATAGGCATTTGATTACTGCATACAAAAGCTATAGGATCAGCAGAGGCATTCCGGGCAGTAAGAGGGACATAAATTAGGTTATATACATTGTGTCTTCCAATGCCTCTAGGATAATGTACATTTGCTGAATCATTATGACAACTCAGCGACACAATGGTAGGGATTAAATGAGCTGGACTTGGGTCATTGATAAGTCATTGTCTCAACGCAGCCTTATAATGCTTTGAAAGGATCCAGGAACCCAAATTATTTGGGTGGATCCCATCCTCCTTATAATACAAGCTTTTTTTCCAGAAGGTATCAACATTTTAAATAAATGTTACACCCACAGAGCTGCAATAGTCTCGTAGCCAGTTATGGAGGGCTAAAGGTCTGCTGAACCGTTCAAAGCCATAATTTAGGGAGGGCAGAGGGCCAGATATTATGTGGCGTTTGTTGGTGTCAAGTAGAGACCCAATCAGTTCTTTAAAATCCACCTCAGCTGTTCTGAGCTGCCCTTCATAATGTAATTTGACCTCACATGAACCATGACAGTATCAGCCCCCGGTGACTGACTCACAGCCTCGGGAAGCAACCTGGTGATATCCTGAACTTTTGCCCCAGGAAAACACAAAGTATTTGCCCCAGGTACAGATATAAGCCTCACCATCGAACTCCCTGTACATACTAGTGACAACTGCTAACCAGAAGAGTATTGTCCTCACTAAAGTGCCTGTGAGAGGAAGCTACTAGACTATTGAGACGCAGCCCCAGTGCGTGTCCTCAAGGTGAGGTGTTGAATGTGGCCCCCAGGGGTCGGCGGGATGCGAAGGGAGAGAAGTCCTTGTAGGCAAACATGATGACGTCGCTCGGTTTTCATAGTAACCGGAACTGCAAGAAGTCGGCCATCATGGCGTGGAGATCCGGGTGCTGCCGTAAGTACGAGGCATGTTCCGCCTTCAACTCCTCCTGTAACACCATGTGTACCTTGGGGTATCTGGTCAATATAATGGATAATCTGTGGTTAACGTCCAAAAGCGGAAGTTGCGTCACAGGCTCTCTTTCCAAAACGGGATCATCCGGTCTTTGGGGACTCGGCAGAGGCGACAGTTGCCTAAACAGAGGTGACCCCCCCCAGGCCTCATGGCCAGAAATGTACACTCAAACAATCATGGTTACTTATAAAATTGCCCTCATTCATTCGTTCATACATTCATTCACAGAAGAACAAAAACAACCATATAATACAAACATTTGTTTTAATTCATGCCATGAAAGGCACATTCATACACTCAATTGAACAGTTCGATATATCATAATTTTATATGCACCTACATTCAGGCAGTGCATGAGTTCTGATGGCCATGAATAAATGCATCAATGACATTTACACATTTTGAACCACAAATTATAGCACACTGGATAGGAACACTGACCGATTTTTATACATTTAGCGGAGGAAGCAAATGTGCGTGCACCTTGCAGTCCATATAGCTGTCGGATTAATCTATACAGTGCATAAGCAGACATTGCATCAGAAGCACTTCATGGTATTGGACAGTCCACGTTAAACTAATTTGTTCCTCAACCTATTTGTTTCCATTACTTAATAGTACATTATCTTAGTCTACAGTTCATAACTCACCTTTTCTCTGTTGAAATTGCATAATCTTCTTGCATCTTTTCTCAGAATAATGCATATGCAATAAACAGTGTGTAGCAGTCGGAGAGACCGAACCATAAAATGCATTACTGTGCTTCATACTTCTTAATCACAGATTAATCACACACTCTCATTATGAGACACGAAAACATTCACAAATGAGCACCTGATAACGTTATGTTTAGCTTATTATCACGGATGACCTTTGACATTGCAAGCAGTAAGCACATACAGATTGACTGGAGGGCAGTGGAGGAAAATGCTTTGCTACACTATCTTGTAGACGGAAGAACAACATCATTCTAAATGGTGTTACATCAAATTCTGAGGCAAAATGGGTTGAACTTGCAAGATTGGAAGTTTAATAACTGGCATCAGTATGGATAAATAATAGTTATGGAATACTTTTACATAATTTCGATTACTGCCTATCACTAAAGCTTTGGTCCAACTTCTTCTCTGTCCATAATGCCCCTTAGATTATACTCTCAGAGGACACGGGAGGTTTTTGGATTTGTAGTATGTAGTCAAGAAAATTCTCGAATATCTTAAAAGCCTATTCATGCAACAACTTCAAATGCATATGCAAGTGTAGACACATACAGTAATCATAGGTTTCTAAATGCATAATATTGGACAACACCGCAAATGGTTCTTAAGGCAAAATACTCCACTCCATGTTGTGCATAGATGAATCATTATGTTTAAAAAGCGAACCAATGCCCTAAACTTCAAGCGTGAGTTAATGCACAAAGTTGACAGATACTGACTGTAACTGACAGATACTTAGCTTGCTCAAGGATATGTTTTAACAGCTTTACTTTGGCGTGATGATATTTTATGAGGTTATTGAAATTGTATGATCAATTTGTTTAGGTGTATGTCTTTATTATGCCTGTAACATACTTTATGTGATTACTTATTGCATGTTTATTTGCCATAACAATTACCAATCCATTCACCACTACTTCCATCCAGTCAACACTTTAGTCTATAACCTGCTTAATTGGGGATGATCATTATGAGGATGACCTCATGCAAACTGGATCGCCATGTATCATAAACGATCTTACTCCCATAACACACCACAGTCACCCATTGGCTAGCATTATCTGGATAGTTTCTCAGTTATCCTATTTAGTTAATGATTCCCTTGAAGAGAATCCATCATATGGACCCAGTCTTATAAGATCCTTATTTAACTTTCAACTGATGACAGGAGGACACCAATCAGCAGTGATCTATTATTCACAAGATGATGGAAGATAGATAGTAAGGCAATCCACACACCATTTAATAGTCATGCCCTTCTCACTTTGGTTGACAATGGCCCACTCACCAACCAAGTTTGGTACTTCAGAGCATTACGAATGGATATTGTGTTTTAAAAACATTATCTGGACCCGAGGTCTGTCTGATTACAAACACCACATGATGGAGCACAGACAGCTGTCAAAGGGAAAACAGAAACACCCATCTCTGTCGTTGTAATAGATTCCGCCTCTCTTCTTTCCATCATTTCCTGTCTTCTTCTTTCTACAGTCCCATTCAAATGCCAACTCTAGCTTGGCGCACCAGTTGCCTCACCCTCCACTTCCACAACAAACTCTGGCCCTGTTAATAACAGCTCTCAGCCTGCGAGCAGCCCTAAGACCACGTGCCACCTGCCAAAGACAGGCCCTCGGATTGGGTTTGCTCATGTAAAATGAAACTCCTTACTGGTTATTTTTCCATGGGCTTGTTTGGTTTTGGTGTCTGAACGACAACGCCATTGACCGTAACAGTCTTGTCAGCATCAGTCTTAGCGGCGTCCTTTTTGGACATGTCGGGCTCCCATAGGAAAAACTCGTGCAGGAGGGTGTTGACTGTGTCAGGGCACTCCATCATCACCATATGACTGCCCTCCTCAATGACTTTCAGGAACGCAAAGAGAAGGATCTGAAATGAAAAGGATAATAGTTACAATCAAGATATAAAACAGTGGTACAGATTATTTTGACCATTTCAATATAATATTAGTCATTGAAGATGACAGGCGTGTGATATGATAGGGACTGTTCATAATTCATATCATAATTAAATAAAATGTATCTTTCATAGAACATAAAATGCAATTGATATAATTTATCTTTCATTCATGAGTAGTAGAGCTTCTTAACTAAATTCACATGGATTGGTATTCATAAATGTATGTCTCTTTACCTCTGCCATGCGTTGGTCCTCATCCATGGGCACAAACTTGTCGTACATGCCGTGCACCAACAGGATGGGCACAGTAAGCTCAGCATGGTACACCTCGTCCCCCTCGGGCCAGTACTGCCCACTCATCATGGCTCGCAACACAAATGGATTCACGTTGAAGGCATTGCCCTGCTTCAGCAGCTGCTTCTCTTTGGCTCCCTGACGGGCAAACCCAGCCCTGAACATGTTGGAAAAAGAGGTCAGACTCATAGCCATTTTGTATAATTGTTTTTTACCCTTATTTTACAAGGAAAGTTGACTAAGAACACATTCTCATTTACAGCAACGACCTGGGGAATATTTACAGGGGAGAGGAGGGGGGATGAATGAGCCAATTGGAAGCCATCAGTATTATCTGATATTCAAAATGTGTTAAATTCCCCTTACTTTGTGTATGCAGTAGTAGTTAAGCATTGACAGTGTACAACAGGTGTCCCCAATTACATTCAGCCGTGGGACGATTTTTCCTTGGATGGTCAGGGAGCCAGAACATAGTTATAAATAATTTGTGCACTACAAAAAATTTCCCGCAAGAATCCCAAACAGATATAGTCTTTTGACAAAAACAGAATCATTTCAAACCTTGATTACATTGGGATACGATCACATATGCCTCTCAAGACTGCGCACGTACAAAAATATTGAGTTTTATAAACTTGGCGCATACCATACATACGCATGTTTCCGTTATAAATCAAACCGGTCCTAAAACTGTGCACGCGTGAACAAGCATTAAAACTCAGCCTGAAAAACGCCCATCATTCACCATTTATGGTGACAATAATACCCTTATTTGCTGTATACTTTGGAAGTATTCGAGTTAGGCTGAGGCAGTTTTCTAAAGGAAATAGCAATAGCGAACTTGATCAAATGTCTTTGTAGATGATGGCATAATGTTGAACTTTTGCAGTGACATTTGCTGTAGGCCTAGGCTATCCGACAGACAAAAAGTTTATGAAAGACAACAACAATTGCACATTTCTGTGGACCTGTAAACAGACGGTTTGAATTGAATAGGGCCTAATGTTTTGCATTTACTTTTTCTTCCCGAATTCTGAAACATTGTCTACTTACAGTGGTAGCCATACACACTTCAATGCAAAATATCAACTGTTAAATTCTACTGTATGTTATAAACTACGCTTCCTTTCTGATGCATAGAGCAAAATACTTGAAATAATAGCGTATCTAATAAGCCCAATTACATGAGAGATGCGCATGGTAATTTGTTGTAGGCTATGGCTACTTTGGGAATATGAACCCATCATGGCCAGAAAAGGTGAAGAATAAATTCTGCAATGGTTATGAAAAGATGGATTATGTGTATAAATGCAATATTGTCTACTCGAGAAATTTGAAATGACAGTACTCAGACTCAGAAGTAACCTACAACCCTCTGTTCCACCGTTAATAAATTGCGCTCCGAATTGGATGGCATAGAGCAAAATACTTCCAGTACCTTATCTACAGTGCCTTGCAAAAGTATTCATCCCCCTAGGCGTTTTTCCTATTTTTTGCATTACAACCTGTAATTTAAATGAATTTTTATTTGGATGTCATGTAATGGACATACACAAAATAGTCCAAATTGGTGAAGTGAAATGAAAAAAAGAACTTGTTTCAGAAAATTCTAAAAAATAAATAACGGAAAAGTGGTGCGTGCATATGTATTTACCCCCTTTGCTATGAAGCCCCTAAATAAGATCTGGTGCAACCAATTACCTTCAGAAGTCACATAATTAGTTAAATAAAGTCCACCTGTGTGCAATCTAAGTGTCACATGATCTCAGTATATATACACCTGTTCTGAAAGTTCCCAGAGTCTGAAACACCACTAAGCAAGGGGCACCAAGGAGCTCTCCAAACAGGTCAGGGACAAAGTTGTGGAGAAGTACAGATCAGGGTTGGGTTATGAAAAAATATCAGAAACTTTGAACATCCCAAAGCACCATTAAATCCATTATTAAAAAATTGAAAGAATATGTCACCGCAACAAACCTGCCAAGAGAGGGCCGCCCACCAAAACTCACGGACCAGGCAAGGAGGGCATTAATCGGAGAGGCAACAAAGAGACCAAAGATAACCCTGAAGGAGCTGCAAAGCTCCACAGCGGAGATTGGCTTTACGGAAGAGTGGCCAGAAAAAAGCCATTGCTTAAAGAAAAAAATAAGCAAACACATTTGGTGTTTGCCAAAAGGCATGTGGGAGACTCCCCAGACATATAGAAGAAGGTACTCTGGTCAGATGAGACAAAAATTGAGCTTTTTGGCCATCAAGGAAAACACTATGTCTGGCGCAAACCCAACACCTCTCATCACCCCGAGAACACCATCCCCACAGTTAAGCATGGTGGTGGCAGCATCATGCTGTGGGGATGTTTTTCATCAGCAGGGACTGGGAAACTGGTCAGAATTGAAGGAATGATGGATGGCGCTAAATACAGGGAAATTATTGAGGGAAACCTGTTTCAGTCTTCCAGAGATTTGAGACTGGGACGGAGGTTCACCTTCCAGCAGGACAATGACCCTAAGCATACTGCTAAAGCAACACTTGAGTGGGTAAGGGGAAACATTTAAATGTCTTGGAATGGCCTAGTCAAAGCCCAGACCTCAATCCAATTGAGAATCTGTGGTATGACTTAAAGATTGCTGTACAACAGCGGAACCCATCCAACTTGAAAGAGCTGGAGCAGTTTTGCCTTGAAGAATGTGCAAAAATCCCAGTGGCTAGATGTGCCAAGCTTATAGAGACATACCCCAAGAGACTTGCAGCTGTAATTGCTGTAAAAGGTGGCTCTACAAAGTATTGACTTTGGGGGGGGGGGGGGGGGGGGGGGGGGGTGAATAGTTATGCACGCTCAAGTTTTCTGTTTTTTTGTCTTAATTCTTGTTGTTTTCACAATATAAAAACATTTTGCCTCTTCAAAGTGATAGGCATGTTGTGTAAATCAAATGAGACAAACCCCCCCCAAAAAACATTTTAATTCCAGATTGTAAGGCAACAAAATAGGAAAAATGCCAAGGGGGGTGAATACTTTCGCAAGCCACTGTATCTACTACTGTGAAGTGGGTCCAATTAAATGAGAGATGGGACGAATGGTATCCTTGTTGTAGGCCTATGCTACCTCATGAGTATGAAATCATTACAGAAAAGGTGAGGAATTTATTATGCAATGATCATGGAAATGAAATAAATAATAGCCTAGGAAATAGAGGCCTATTTTTTTAATATTATAAAATGCAAAGATAAACTAAATCACATTTCTCTCTTCTCACTAACAGCAAATGATTGCATCTTGTTATTAACCTGTTTATGAATAAGCCGTCCATCATATCCCCCATTTGCACAAAATACTAATCTACTTTCCTGCTTGCAATGCAATACTTCAACCATTAGAAACTGTGCGTACGCATGGTCTAAAGTTTGAGGGAAGGTGAGCACATTTGCACATTAAGTTTTTTATAAATGCCAACTTTTGCTTGAAAACTGGCGTACAAATGTTTTGCAGTCTATTTTGTACGCACGGTTTATAAATGAGGCCCCTGGTTATTACAGTCTTTTATGTCCAACAACAATGTTTTTTATTTTTTTTTATTTTTTTTTGCTCCGAAATCTTGGAGGGCCAAATAAAATCCCTTGTGGGCAGCCAACTATTCGGGAACCCTAGTGTAAAGTATACTTTCTGTATGAAGAGTTTCTTGATTTTGTTTTGTCTACAGCGATAGGTTGTTGTTCTATTTGTTAAGCGATGTGTTGTTATTTTGTCTACAAAATGTTGTTTTGTCTAGCAATGTGTTGTTGTTTTGTCTGCACTGCAATAGTTTTGTCTACAAAGAGATGGGATGATTTACTTACTTGAGAAAGCTCCAGGCCAGACAGGGGGAGAGGCAGTGCAGCACACAGGAAGGCAGCTGGAAGATTGAACAGAGGCTGGGCTCCAGAGCTGTGGGCCCCCCTCCATTGATCATCACCACCTTGTGAACCTGGTCTGGATACTCATGGGCCAGGAAGGTACAGAACGATACCCTGAAAAGGGATATAATCAAACACGTGAAAATAACGTCTTGGGAACCTGCTTTCTGATTGGTCCATTCATCATCACATCGTCATAACCCTGCTCTCTGATGGGTCCTTCACCATGACATCAAATAACCTAATCTCTGATTGGTCACTTCATTGTGACATCATCATAACCCTGCTCTGATTGATCCCTTCATCATGACATCACCATAACACTGCTCTCTGATTGGTCCCTTCATCATGACATCATCATAACCCTGCTCTCTGATCGGTTCGTCTTCTTCAGACATCGTCAGGGCCAGTTTATGGTGTGTTTCAGGGCATGTTCAAATACTGTAATTAATTTACTATCACGATATTCCTTCTGTTAACTGACCTAAGACATAAGATGATACTTGGTAATCAATTGACCATTAGTTTTAACAGAGAAGCAAGCATACTGACCCATAGGAGTGCCCGATTAGGATGTTGCGTTTACGGGCGTATTTCTTGAAGATGGCGCGCATGTCCTCGGCCAGGGCGTAGAAGGTGTAGGCCGCCGCGATGTGGGGTGCTGTGCTGGCCCCGTGGCCCGCCATGTCAGGGGCGATGACCTCATACCCCAGCCGCGAGAAGAAGTCCAGCTGGCTGCCCCAGATGTCCAGCGAGCCGCCTACCCCATGTACGAAAAAGAGCGCCACGTCCGAGTGCGTCCCCTTGCAGCTGGAGATCTCCCTCTCCGAGTCAATCATCAATGTGCGCTTGGGCTTGCGGTGGCGCCGGCGAGGAGGTGCCGCAGGTTTCTGCTCCCCGACCATGGGTAGGGGAGGCGTGGGTTCAGGGGAGGTGGTCACTTCCTTATAGTCGGCCAGTTCCACCTCCACGGTGCTGCAGGGCTCTAGGTCTCCATCCTGGCACTGGAGGATCTGCGAGTGCAGCACGTCACCCAGGTTCTCAATGACTAGCTGGCCGTTGCGGTAGACAGTGATCTTGCGCTTGCAGTGCACACTGCTGCTGTTGCTGTTTCCACTGCCCTTCACCTGCTCTGGCTCCTTTACCTGGTCCTCCTCCGTCACCACCGGTGACTGGCGCTCAGGGATGATGTGGCGAACCCTTAGGACTCTCCCGGGCTTCACCTCCACAAACTCAAAGGCGTCAGCTGGCTCGGAGGACTCGACGGGCATCACCAGGCTGGTAGCCTTCCCAGTCAGACAGCACAGGATCCCGTCTGTAATGCTGGTCAGCATGGTGCCTGCCTGCAGAGACACACACCCATGAGGAATGTCAATGAGCAATCTAAACAAAACCAACACAACGTGATTAATTATGCTTGAAAAAATACTGGATAGGTAAGTACTGTGGTAAGAACATGAGGTAACATAAAGGTTATGAGTGTTTTGTATGCATAATATTGTGAATAACATCGTTATTTCATGTAATTCAAATACAACACAGTCCCATTTCTGCTGAGTGCGACAAAGTCTAGGAGTTTACAACAAACATAATATAAGAACAAACCGGTAAAAGCACCCAGAGTGGTGTTGTGAGTTCCATGTTTCCCCATATGTCAAAACCATAATAGGAAGGATCTGGTAGGCTTAACACACAACAAAGATCACAGACAACAAAGATTTTTGAGCTAAAAGATCCCACTGGCTCTCACCACAACATTAGAAACTGTGCGTACGCATGGTCTAAAGTTTGAGGGAAGGTGAGCACATTTTCACATTAAGTTCCGTTTTTATAAATGCCAACTTTTGCTTGAAAACTGCGGCACCTCCAAAACCAACACAACGTGATTGATTATGCTTGAAAAAATACTGGATAGGTAAGTACTGTGGTAAGAACATGAGGTAACATAAAGGTTATGAGTGTTTTGTATGCATAATATTGTGAATAACATCGTTATTTCATGTAATTCAAATACAACACAGTCCCCATTTCTGTCTGAGTGCGACAAAGTCTTGGAGTTTACAACAAACATAATATAAGAACAAAACAGTAAAAAGCAACCAGGAGTGGTGCTGTGAGTTCCATGTTCTCCCCATTCGTCAAAACACATAATAGGAAGGATCTGGTAGGCTTAACACACAACAAAGATCAACAGACAACAAAGATTTTTGAGCTAAAAGATCCCACTGGCTCTCACCACAACAATTCACTGCACAAAAAACGACAAAAACAGTACTTTGAACCTGACATTTGCTCCATGATAAACACCCTAGGGTTTCTCAATCATTAAGCTTTCAATTAAAAAACTCACCGGCTTACATGACCAGTTTAACATTGGGTTCAAAGTAAGTCCATAGACAACAGTAAAACAATACCCGTTTCGTACTCAGTTTCAGTGTGGAGAAGCAGAATCAATTGACATACTGACCTAGACGCAAACTAAGAATAGACACGGCTCTTCCAAAATGGCCCCTGGCCCCTAGAGTATACATAGAATGTCAGCAATGGCACAGCGGGGTTCATGCCAACTGCTCAATCTATGTATCCCATGTGCCAATGGGGTTTGGTTATTAGTACACCAGCAGACGATGATCTTTCCAAGGTTAGTTATGTCCAGAGGTTTTTGGCAGTCTGGTAAATTGAGAATGTCACACGGTTTAAATATAGACTATAGATTATCAAGGGGAAGCAGAACACAAGTGTCATATCTACAGTATGTGTTGGAACTTGGATCCAGGCTTCATGGTTTCCTATGTACAGTAACTGTGTCTCTGCTAACTAAACAGAATATATACTGCTGGTTGTGTTCTATTGTTCAATTACCTTATGTAAAGCTGGAGTATATGAGCTATCTATGCTCACAAATTATGTCCCCTACAATGCTAGACATCTGATTGAATTGCATTTCCAGTCAACAACGTTCACCGATATTATTAGATCATGCTCAAAGCTACAGTCAATGAGGTCTGGGGAAAACTGCGGCAACCATTTTCAATCCTCTGAAAATTGTGGCCTACACAGGAGGGAGGCTTTTCTAATGATGAGTTTGTGGAAACCCTTCGTATAAAAGATGACCTGACACACTGGCTTTAATCAACACATATATTTCTCTCCTGGTATTCACACCAAGGTCACACCATTGATTTATATACGTCAAGTCACACACACACACACACACACACACACACACACACACACACACACACACACACACACACACACACACACACACACACACACACACACTAACACACACTAATAATGGCAGAGCTCTGATTAATGTCCACCCTTCTCTCACCCACCTCCAATCACTTTCAACCCCGGATTCATATTCTACATTATTTATTCACAATGAGGGGAGATGTGTGTAAATGATTCATATTCGCTGGTGCATTTGAAACAGACTAAAAGCCTATTTATGCTTGCGCCGAAAATGTGATCCGGAGGCTCCTTACGAAGGGTGTGACGCAATTGCGGAGCCTCTCGAGGCTTGCGGAGGCCAAATCGAGCTCCATACCGCATCGCCGTGCTCCTCCCAAATGTTTTAACAATGCGGAGGGCTCCGTATAGCTCTGCATTGACATGATTGTTTGACCGTAGGTGGGGGCGGGAGGTCCTGTATAAACACAAATTAACTTCCTTGACTACTTCCTTCACAACAGCTCTGCTCCACAAAGAGCAAAAAGTATGTTTGCTCTGACTTCTGGGGAGGCCACATCGCAGTAAATACTGTACAGCCACTGCAGACATCAGATTGGCCATGCAGAGCCTTTAAGTCTCATTGTTCTATCTCTTCACATGTAATTGAAATGTCCACCTGTGTAATGCTTGCCATAAAAATTCTGAATATCAGCAGATAAAACTGCTGTGTACGTATATTCCAATTTCGGACCCAGAAGTGTGTTATTTGCTGACCTAGCGAAGTTTATTACAGTTTTTCTCAATCACGCACAAGCAATTTTTGGATGTATGTTGAAACATACTGTATCTATAGCAGAACAGCAATAATCAAATGCTCAAAATACATTTACAGACCTTCGGATAATTTTCTTGCTTTTGTACCTGACTTGCATATCTTAGACCACCTTTTACAAAACTTTAAATACAAACGTCATCAGTGAATACAAAACTCAGTGTTAAGTGTTTTGTTCACAGAATATTACCATTACATTGTTTTCATCATAAGAGAAATGTGTGCAATATTGTGTTCACTGATCCAGCAATCAGTAAATGCTACTGCACGAAATTCTAAATCATCTCATCAGTGTCATACCATGTACAATATAGGAAAAGGGGGAATCTAGGCAATGGGGAATGTCAAATTATTATATATTTTTTACAATACATGCAGAAAATTCAGTTAGGTTAATTCTAAGTAACTGGGTTACTACTAAGTCATCATCTCCAACATCAACTTACATTATAGAGCTTTCCTTTGGTGTGGATTGAGGCCTAAACATTCATATCAGTTGTGTTCCTCCATTGTATTCACCTTTCCTTATTTCTATTGTGGATTGTGTTTCTGTGTGACAATGGAGAGTCTACAAAACTATGAGCAAACCAGCCTTTGTATTGAATACATGCAATTGGATTGTGATGATACCGATGAATGAATCCTGCACACAATATGCTTAAAAAAAAGTATCAGGAATAATATTTGATTTGATGTGTATGGAATTGTTTGGTATGCATAAAATGAGAGTAATTATTTCCATATTGCTGCCCCTTTGGATAGTTGTACTTTGATCATCATGATTTAGTGACTGTAAAGAAAATGTATTGATCAACTGGGATTTTAAAAGACAGACTAACTTTCTGTTTTGTCTGCTTGGACTCGAGAGATGAGTATGGTTGTGTTAATCTTTTGATGAATGTATTGGCAATTTTAACGGTATATAATATAGTTTTGATTAATGCATTTATGTTTTGAGAAGGCAACTACATTTAAAAAACATATTTACTTTGTTGTGGACTTTGTTTAGAAAATCGACAACATTGTTCCAAAAAATGCTTGACAAGTTTTGTTTAGCTTAACGATTTTGAAAGTGTAGGTTTGGCAAAGGAAAGTTAATGAAGTTCGTTTTAATACACAGATGGGAAATGTGAAAGCAGGTAATGGTAATAGGGAGAGAGGAGGGTGCATTGATCCTGGTAAATGATGCCTCTGCATGAGGTGCAGCTTACTGCATCTTTGCAGCCACACACACAGGGGAGTTCATTAATGTATTGAACTGGCACACAGGGATCAATGTCTGGCTGAGAAGGGCTGAGAAGGGCTGAGAAGGGCTGGGAAGGGCTGAGAGGGGCTGAGAAGGGCTGAGAAGGGCTGAGAAGGGCTGAGAGAGAGAGAGAGAGAGAGAGAGAGAGAGAGTAGAGAGAGAGAGAGATAGAGAGAGAGAGATAGATAGAGAGAGATAGATAGAGAGCAGAGACAGACCAGAGACAGAGACAGAGAGAGAGAGAGAGAGAGGAAGGTCGGTGCATCCTGTTTCACGAGCCAAGTGACATTTGGGATTTCCCTTCCTTGGTAGATCAAAATGGTGAGCCTCTAGGAGCAGTGAGTGTGTCATTAATCATATGATCAAATGCTACCATCACAACATTCATTAGACACAGCTGGCCTCTAAATCATTGCAATACGTTTAGGGGTCAGGATACTGGATAATATGTGTGTAAGCACTATGAAAGCCCAGCCATGACCTACAGGCATATATGTCTATACACAGATACTGTATGTATCTCATGTAATAACCCATATCATATTGAGGTTATTATCAGGTGTGATATAAGACTGAACAGAAAGTATGTTGGAGGTGGACTACCCTCCAGGGGATGAGGTGGCCATCCTTGCAATGAACCTGTGCATGACTGCTAAACTGAGAGGAGACTTGCACTACACTCCAAGATCACTACATTACTCCACTACCAGAGATTAAAATGCAAAAGACCATCCGGTTCAACGTTCCTTGCCATTTCATCCCACTGACATATTAAGGTTGAGTATGAAAGTGAGACTTGAATATGAATGAGTTTTCCAGTGGACTGCCCTAAATTCTCTCAACCATGTTATTCAGCCATTTTACTATTTGATCTGCAATGCAGAATTAGGTTGATTATCCAAACGTCATGTTTAGCACACATTTGGTACCTGTGCTCTACTTTTCCACCCACACAGTACAGTAATACATTCTGATGCATTGAATTACGTTAGTACTAGGGCATAACACTACCTGTAAACATCAGAAATTACATAATGTACCATACAGAGCAGACCAATTCAGTCTTAGCCAAATGAGTATGCATGCATAATTTTTTCAAAACTGTTATGAAAGATTTAACCATTTGCAAACTGGACTGGACACTACTGTAGCCTATGGTAAGTGAGCAAGATATATGCCAACAACATAAATCAATATTGAGTGGGTGTGTTGCGCAATGTATGTCACTATGCCAACGCATCATGAATGACATCTATTTATCCGAATACCCATTATGAAATATCAAATATACTGTTTCAGGTATGGTATCAGTATAAAACCACATACCCAGTAATTGCCATTCAACGTTTGCTGATGCATATGCCTATTTTCTAGCCAATTCCTTACCTTACTGATGATTAAGGACGTGAAATATGATGCTCCTCTCCCATAAAACGATAGTCAATAGGTTGATAATAATTAACTGCAGCTGAAAATCTGTTGCATTGGTATAATTCAAAAGCAATCTGCAATATGGAGAAGTTGTTAATTGCTCATCTGCAGATGGTTTACATCTTACTAATCAACAAATATAATAAGGCTTTAAATCTAAGTAATGCACACTAAGTAGGTGTGCCAATTTCAATTTTTAAATGCCCAGATCAATGCTCTTTTGATCAGCATCCTTCGGCGTTGCGCACACGGGCATGATTCTACCAACCCGTTTGGTCTTGTTGTATTCTGGTTGAATTCCGCATCTACGGAATTTTCCTGTCAGCTTCCTTCTGCATTTGAATGACAAGAAAGATAGCGAATGGGCTACAAACCTTAGTTCTACGAAAGCCAATAGGATGTCTTGTATTCAAGTTGCTAAGGCCGAGTGGGTAAACTAACAACAGATTCCCATACCATAAGTGTGTGTGTGTGGTGTGTGTGTGTGTGTGTGTGTGTGTCCTGATATGGTGTGGCATGTGGCTAGATTGGTGGATGGAAGGATGAACCCATAAATATCAAATAGAAATGTGGAATCAAAATACGTTTATTTAATGATCAAAATGCTTTCTCTGTTTCACAATTTCGTTTATGAAATTATCCATCAGTGGGCATTTTTATTGAAAAGTATATTAGTTACCAAGCAATTTAACTATACCAAATAGGCAACATTTAAAGTTTTACATTTGTATTATAGCCTTATATGCATCAATACTTTTATTGATGACATCTGAAAGAAAAAAGTCATGGATGATAATATTATTGGTTTGTAATGCCAGAATCAGCTTTTTTGTTTATGTGTTGCCATGGTGTTTCTTTCAGACCGGACCTGAGAGTTTATTTTTACCTTTTACCTTGATGACCTTGACAAGTGGGAACCCATGGACCTCCCTAAGGGTGACGAGTATGCCTACGCTGCCTACGACAGCTCCCTGTCCTTATCACTTAGCGGAATATTCACTTCCATAAGCAGCATCGGCACCAAAACATCATGGGGTTCCCTCCATCTCCCCCAGAGAGCTGCCAGTGAGCTCTGTGGCCCCTCAGAATGGCATGCTTCTGGCTGAGGGCCCACTGCAGCAGCCTATAGTGATAAGGTGCTGGCCCTCCTGTAGCTCAGTTGGTAGAGCATGGCGCTTGCAATGCAAGGGTTGTGGGTTCGTTTCCCACGGGGGGCCAGTATGAAAAATTTATGCACTCACTAATTGTAAGTCGCTCTGGATAAGAGTGTCTGCTAAATGACTAAAATGTCAAAAAATGACAACTGGTGTGTTGATAAAACAAGTTTACTGGAGAACGGAGACCAAGTAGAGACTTTTGGACAAGGTGGATAATTGTATAATATAAGGCAGTTTATTCAGAGGTAAAGATATCTGGAATCGCGTGCACGGACCCGTTCGTCAATCTCGTAGGGAGATATCTGAGAGAGCCCCTAAACATTGTGTGCTGACATTTTATACAATAAAATGAAGTAGGTTGATTCTAGTAGTTCTGATCTTCTGATTGGTCCTGATGAGTTGGGCGAGGTCCCCTCCAGGTTAGTATCACTGTTGCATTGGCTCTGAGTCGGGTTCTCTGTCTTCAGATGTTCAGCCTAAGAGAAGAGGATTTGTGTGTGTGTGTGTGTGTGTGTGTGTATGTGTGTGTATGTGTGTGTGTGTATGTGTGTGTGTGTGTGTGTGTGTGTATGTGTGTGTATGAGTGTGTTTGAGTGTGTGTGTGTGTGTATGTGTGTGTGTGTGTGGGGGTGCCTTCGAAGCAGCCTTGTAGCAGGGGAGATCAAGGTAGCAGAGAAATAACTGTCCTCCACCAGACTCTCCACTGCTACAGGTGGGAGGAAGAAGACTAAGAACTGGCTGCTTCCAGGGACTCCGGAGAGCCCTGAGAGGGAGCAGAGGAAAGGAGAAGAAGCCTGTAAGCAATTACTAGTAATCATACTGTAATACTTTGTCATACTTTCTCTCTCTTGTTCATTTCTTAAATATACAATGGTAAATCTCATGAGATTTGTATCAAATAGATACTTGGAAAACGTGATTAGATATTTGAATGCAGTTGTCATTGTAGCAACACATACTGTTAACACAGAATAACACAGAATATTATACCCTGGACGACGCTGGGCCAATTGTGCGCCGCCAATGAGTCTCCCGGTCGCGGCCGGCTGTGACAGAGCCTGGATTCGAACCAGGATCTCTAGTGGCACAGCCTTAGACCACTGCGCCACTCAGGAGTACCCCACCTTTTAGAGCGCAGGTACTGCCTTTGAAATTTATATCACCTGGAACATGCGCAAAATCACATCACAGGCAGAGGGGGCAGGAGTGTTCCAGCAACTCCCGTGGCACCATCAGCAGGTTCGCACAGGGAAGCGGGGAATAGAGTACCAGCCCAAGAATATAAAGCGGAAGAGGACCCACGGCTGGATCAAGAGGATCAGCACGCAGGGTGGCTCTTTTTTCAGTAAACTTATCGAAGTTGTGGTGCAAAGGTGCCCAGGTTTTACTACTATGTTAAAGAAGATGCCTAAAAATGAGGTACGAAACGTGGTGATGCCTTCCAATTATGTAGGCAACACCATGCACATTTACATTCAAGTAAGAATGTTGAATAAACTTCATTTACTCTGCCGATTGTCTGTGGTGTTGGTCTTTGAGTTGGTAGAAATGTTTGAGAAAATATCCACAGGAAATAATTATTAACCCAACTTCAAAACACGGGTCTCTGTGTGTAGCAATCAAGATTTGTTTGCTCATGACCAAAGGCACATGCACAAGACGGAAGTACATGCGCGCGATGCATGCATGTAACCAACATCTGCAGGTGTTTACATGGTTTTGCGCATGTTCCAGGTGATATACATTTCAACGGCAGTACCTGCGCTCTAAAAGGTGGGGTAAACAACACTTTCCTGCAGATATTTTGTCTAAAATTTAGAGTGGCTGAAGGACCAACCACCAAACCGCCTTGCACACACTTGCCTGCATCTAGCTGATATAGGGTGTAATCATTAGTCCAACAGTTGCAAACGAGAGTTTCTATTGAACAAATTCAGGTATGTTTATCCCCGTTTCGTTCTGTTTTTCAACACAATCGGCGGAATGAATACACCCCTAATCACGTGTAAACACAATTAACTTTCATAGCAGCAGCACATAAGTATTACTTATCTCATTTATGCACTCTCCTCCTCTCACCTTTTCCCTTCACTTGTGGACTTCAATGCACAACACATCAGCCAAAATAAACATATAATAACCGCTACACACAGCCTACATCTTTGTCACCATATTAGCTAAAGTAACGTCATATTCAAAATAGCTAATAGAACTAACGCGTTAGTAAACCCGCTACAATCATGCAGTAACGTTACAGTGTACAGTCAGTAAGCAGTTTAGCACTTACACCGGCGGGCCCCGGTGGCAATACATTTGTAAAACCAAAAGCTTACCTTGACTTGGAAGAGTTCCAGTGTTGTGTTGGATAGTCATAGCCAGCTAGCTAACATATAATCCCTCTGTTTGAGTAGGCTAAACTAACTAGCTAGCTGCATTTGCTAGCTAAGTAAGTGAAATTGAAAACAAATAACAATCTCTCTCTCTCTTGCTTCTCCTTCATTTTGGAAGAAATGTATTTGTTCAAAACTGTTCAAATATTGTCTTTCTCTCTCTTTGAGTCAACTACTCACAACATTTTATGCAATGCAGTGCTAGCTAGCTGTAGCTTACACTTTCAGTACTAGATTCATTCTCTGATCCTTTGATTGGGTGGACAACATGTCAGTTCATGCTGCAAGAGCTCTGATAGGTTGAAGGACGTCCTCTGGAAGTTGTCATAATTACTGTGTAAGTCTATGGAAGGGGGTGAGAACCATGAGCCTCCTAGGTTTTGTATTGAAGTCAATGTACCCAGAGGAGGACGGAAGCTAGCTATCCTCTGGCTAGACCATGGTGCTACCCTACAGATTGATGTTGAGGCTCCTGTAGACCTTAATTGCAAAACAGTATGTTTTAATCAATTATTTGGTGAAGTGAATATATTTAGTATAGTTTTATTTAAAAAAGAACTTTTTAAATGTTTTACCATTTTTATTTTTATTAAATTCACTGAGGATGGTCCTCAAGTTCCTCCTCTGAGGAGCCTCCACTGGAAGGCAGATGTATTTGCAGATGTATTTGACCATGCAAATGATTTTCAATGTCTTTGTCATCTATTTCAGACACAATCTTGGAAATGCTTGGTAGTGTGGTGCAGTTAGTCAATTTAGCATAAATGGCATATGGATGCAACTGTGACAAAACTCGAATTACTTATGCACCTGTCAACATGCAGTGGTGGGGTTGAACTAGTTCCTGAATTTGAATATTGGACTTTTAATATGCAAGTGCTGGGATATAAGCATCTGTGCTGCTTGTGTAAGGTATTTAGTTGCTGCGGAAATAAATATACCTTCGGACCTTGATACCATGCTGATACATAGTTGTCATTCAAGTTTTTGTCTTGTTCAAATAAAAGCACTCTTTCTATGTGTAGTTGGTTGAAGTCAGTGATGATGGAAGATTAGAAAACCATTGTTAACACATTTTATATCTCAATGTCTGTGTTAATATCTCCCTGTGAGAATAATTTCACAAACTTTGATACTGAATAACAATGAATTTGTATGCCGTAGCTAGCGACTGCTTATCACTGCCTCTTCGCCATCAAATCACGTGACGGCATCTGAAGCCCCTCTTCCCATTAGCGGGCTGGTTTATCGTGTAAAAACTAGTGACCCAATTAGCATTGTCCTTTGTCATTCTACGACTGTCCATCATCTCCTGTAGCCAATGGAGCATCAGGCAATACGAAGACGAACGCCCATACACGGACTAGCAACAAAGATGCAATTGTTATGCTAACTTGCGTACTAGCTAGCAATCAAGTATGCTTGGTTATTCGATTCAACATAGTTTGATTAGTGTCAATCTCAAACCTAATTTCACAAAAAATATCTCACTATTTGATTGTAGCATAGTCTACGCGAACTTGTAAACAACCAGTGGTTTCTTAGCTACGACAAAACACTGTCTAGTAGTAGTAGCAAGCAAGCGAGCTAACGTTAGTGAGTTGCTAGCTGGATAGAACGGGTTGTCTAGTTAGCAAACTGGTGGTCTTGCTAGTTTATATAATACTTGTAAATGACTTGGAATTGATGAACACATTCCTTGTACTTTGTGTAATCTTGAATATTTTAGATAGCCAACGCTGTACCGCGCATTTCGCTTTAACTAAGCTAGCGAACTACGCAGGTTCGTGTTGCTAGCATATTTTCAACGCGCATCAGCTTTTTGTCTGTCTTTCTGCGGTATAAAGCCACCATGGATAAGGTAACCTGTTATCCTTTTATGTAGCTATCAAACTAAACATGTTATGGTTACAGTTGACTGCTAACTAACTAGTAAGTTACCCTGTTTTGAATTTGAACTAGTTCAATTTAGGCCCTGTGTTCATCATCAAGCTGACTTAGCTAACATAATGACAGCTAGAAAAAAATAAGTTTCATGATATAGGCCTAACGTTATGTTGTCCCTCGATAACTACTTATCTAATTTATTATCTAGTTAGTTAAGCCAATGTCATTTGGTTAGGTACCGCAATTGTTCAGTTGGCTACCCAGGAAGATATTTCCCAATCCCAATGTTCAGACTTGAAGTATCCTAAAAAGCTAGAGTAGTCGGCTAGGTTCATTTCTCACATTTGCTTTCTTTCCTAAACAGGCAGAGTTTTTAAAAGGACTACCTGTCTACAACAAAAGCAATTTCAGCAGATTTCACGCAGACTCTGTCTGCAAAGCATCAGTAAGTGTCTTCCTGCCCTTAGTTCTGTATGTCAAAGCAATTCCAAATTAATGTGATTGTTGTTGGGCGTTTCAACTGAGAGCATGAATTGCCAATGGCCAACATAGATATTGAATTTAGTGCCAAACAATGCATCTTGTAATTGGTCTTTGTTATATTTCTCGCCTGTTGTTTGGGTTAGTTAGTTAGTGGACACATACTTGATTTAGACTCTCACCTATTTCTGTCTTTATTTCAGAACCGGAGGCCCTCTGTGTATCTCCCAACTCGGGAGTATCCATCAGAACAGAGTGAGTGTCCCCTCGGATTCAAATGATACTCTGTTGTCACAGTATATGTTTGCTGGTGTGTACTTCAGATCTGAATAGTGCGTAGTTTGACTGATAAAGGTTACATATTATTGATTAGCCTGACGACCGACGTTGAATTGTATTGGATTCAACGTCGGGCATAATTGAGCGTTTGGATCAGGAAAGTTTCCTCTCACGACCTCTACAAGCCAGAATGTTGAATACAATTGTATTTTAACTTACTTTAACATTTGTCTGTGTGGTTGGTCCTTTTGCAGGTAGGAATGTGAGACAATATATCCACAGGAAAGTATAATTACATCAACTTTTCAAAGCGTTGGCAGTGCACCTGAAGCATGCGCAGAACTATGTATACATGTGCACGAGCTTGGCAAGTATGCATGTCTCTCCTGCATGTATTTTTATCTTGTGCGCATGCTTCAGGTGATAGAAATCTGAACGCACTGCCAGCGCTTTGAAAAGTTGATGTAGTTATACTTTCCTGTGGATATATTGTCTCACATTTCTACCTGCAAAAGGACCAACCACATGGACAACCAGTAAAGTAAGTTAAAATATCAGTTTATTCAACATTCTGTCTTGTAGAGGAGACTTTACTGATCCAAACGCTAATTTATGCCCAACGTAGAATTCAATGCAATTCAACGTTCGGTCTTCAGGCTAATTATTGATATACATTTACAAGATAAACACGTTCTTTGTGATTTATATTGGGTTTTGATCTGATAAATTTTTTCTTCTAAGTCATTGTCACAGAGAAGACAAATATCCTATTGAGATATCTTCACCAACAGTGGGACAAAAAGGTAAAGTATTGGGAAGGTTGATACCTTCATAATGCATTGTTTCTTTACTCAATATGGGCACTGTATTGCTGTTTACTGTAGGTTAGCTAGTTTTCCAACCCCTCTCTGTATTTTGTCTCGACAGAATGCGGCCAAAAAGCGGGAGCAGGAGCAAGCTGAGGGGGAGAACACTGCACCCCCGCGGAAAATTGCCAGAACTGACAGTCAGGAATTAAATGAGGACTCGTAGAGTGCTGTACACACACACACACACACACACACACAACTATAGATAAAGAAGCACACAGGCAAAGTTGCATTTGACAGACAGGACAGACCACTTTCTACATCGTTCAACATGATCTTGGGATGTTGACAGTTTTCTCTTTGTGTTTTATGTACTTTTTTTTGTTTTTTCCCTGAACTGTCCTTTATAAGTCTTTGATTGGCACATAGCTGAAAAGCTCTGCCTTCATGACGAAAGGCACAATAACATTACCTCCTCACCCTACGACTCATATTTAATTGTTGCTTAACCATGTTTCTACATGAGGAGCATTTTCAGTGCTCTGTTTGCTTTCATTAGTTTACTTGTACTACATGTGTACTTTGACCTGCATGTTTTAAAGTCATGTCCATTTAAGCAATTAAGTTCCATGCCATTTATATACATCCTTCTGGGCTTGGAGTGAATAGAATATTGTCTCTATAGCCTCGGTTATAGTTTGAGATATATGCGATGACAGAGGTATACCGTAACACTGAAGGATGCTTGTCAGATCCCCAACAATTATTCCAGTTACTGAAAAGGGAAGACTGTGTATAGACTTAAGATTGAATTAGTCTCAGGTTGTTGTTATGGGGAATGATGCCTCAAAAGGATTTATTCCTGAAAGTGCTGACGTCTCCTAGTTTGAGTGATTAATTGCCTTAATGGAAATGTTTCTTGATCAATGAAGGACCCACCCTCTGTTTACATTATGACGACAGTGGAGGAAATGCACACATTGTTGAGTTAACGAGGGGATTAATGGTGTGGATATGGAGAATGCTCCCACAGTGTCATATTGGGGCTCATTTAAAGGCATACCTGACACAAACCCTTTTACAGTATAAAAACAGACCAATTTTGTAGCAATACATCACACACGATGCTTGATGTTTGTCAATGTGCATAAACGTTGTTTCCCCATAGACGTGCTACAATCTACCACTAGCAGCTAGATTGTCATCACATCTAGAAAAGTTATTTTGTTGCAGATAATTGTCTGTGGATAGTATAGGGAATTGGACTTACCTGTCTGTTAACATGGCATGGCTCCACAAGTAAAAGCATAGCTGCTAAGTTGCAACTTAGCTCAATCGATCTATATGAACCTATAGGATATGCCTTGCTAAAAGGACTTTAGTCAATATGTAGGGTAAATGTGCAATTCAGGTGTATAGAATCTTGTCTCAAAGTAACCCGCTCACAAGTGTGATGTTAATGTGGGGCATAGTTTGACAAATGTAAATACAAAAATGGGGCGTATTGTTCCTGATATGCTCTCTATATCCCTCTGCTGCTATTTACAAAGATCTGGTATTGTCTAGTTGTGAATCCTGTCCAAAACTATGGGTTATAAAAACGATGGGTTGTGTATACATGGTTTGTTTCCTCAGACCATTATCAGGTAATAGTTCAAGGACTCGCAGGGTCCAGAACCTTTAGATCATTATATAATTGTATCTTACCTGAAACAGCCACACCTAACTGTTGTTTGAATGCATGTACAGTATAAACTCCGCAGGCCATATGTTTAGGTGGTGTCGGCTCATCTTGTTTGAGGTGATCTTGAGGCTGGCTGACGATCAGTTACCATATTTATATTTTAGTCATTTAACAGACGCTCTTATCCAGTGCGACTTACAGTTTAGTGAGTGCATACATTTTCATACTGGCCCCCCGTGGGAAACAAACCCACAATCCTGGTGTTGCAAGCGCCATGCTCTACCAACTGAGCTACAGGGGACTACCATTATGTTCCTTGGTGATGCTAGCTGTCTACATGTGTTAATGTTGAGAATTCTTTCCACAGGTAGACAAGTGTTTTGTTTTTTATAATGGAAGATGACACACTCCTTCATTCAGTTCTCAATAATAAACGGTGTGATGACCTGAATATACATTGTGTGCTGTGATTTAAACAGTGAATGTGGGGCACGGCACATTCACACAGTTTAAATCACAGCACACAATTTTGAGTTAATATTTAGAAAATTGACTTCTTTACATCCATTTCTCCCATGTTTGTTGAATGTTTCTCTTTAAAAAAAACAACAGCGGCAAGCTAAAAAAAACAGCACCTTTTTTGACGGATCTCATGGAAATGGAAAAAAACAGCACCTTTTTTGACGGATCTCATATGGAAATGACCCTCTGCAAAGATGTTGTCAATAAAGTGATCTGGGTATTGTGTGGATTTGCTTATGAATGTTTGTTTCTACTGAGCCTCCATGAGGTATGTTTTTTCTCATATATAATGTTGGAATTCACCAAAATATATTTTGTATACACACAAAGGTGGCTAGTAAAGAATGTAACTACAGACGGTAGGAATAGGCAGGCTACATGATAAAGAAGTAATGGTAGCTCATTTTATAGTTATGTGTGAAACCCCTCCCACTCCCCTCCTACCTGGAGGGGAGCCTGCTTCTTATTGGTTGCCACACACACCTGTCAACTAATCAACCAGATCACCAACTCCTGAAAGGGGTGGGGCTAGCCCTTTAATTGTCCCATCTGCAGTGATTAAGTCCTCTTTCAACCAAACAGTACGGACCACTAGAGAGGCGTTACTGACTACAGTACCATTTCGCACCATCTACATCTATCAAATCATACACCGTCTGAAGCCCTTTTAACAGTATTGCTTCCGTCCTTGTCCTTGCCCCAACCTGGACCTGAACCAAGGACCCTCTGCACACATCGACAACAGTCGCCTTCGAAACATCATTAGCTATTGCTCCACAAAAGCTGCGGACCGGCAGAGCAAGAGAAACAACTAGGCCTACTTCAAGGTCTCAGAACGAGTGACGTCACCTGATTGATACGCAACTAACGCGCACTGCTAACTAGCTAGCCATTTCACACCGGTTACACCTACAAAGACCAAAGACACAAAATCTATTCAATAAAAGGTACAAGGCTACCCTCTCCTTGTGTTCTTGCAGACATATCCATTGCGTTGCCTCCTACCCAGACTTTAAGCTACACTACAAGACCAAAAGTATGTGGACACCTGCTCGTCGAACATCTCATTCCAAAATCTTGGGCATTAATATGGAGTTGGTTCCCCTCCCCCCTTTGCTGCTATAACACCCACCACTCTTCTGGGAAGGCTTCCACTAGATGGTGGAACATTGCTGTGGGGACTTGCTTCCATTCAGCCACAAGAGCATTAGTGAGGTTGGGCGCTGATGTTGGGCGATTTGGCCTGGCTTACAGTCAGTGTTCCAATTAATCCCAAAGGTGTTCGATGGGGTTGGGGTCAGGGCTCTGTGCAGGACAGTCAAGTTCTTCCACACCGCTCTCAACAAACAATTTCTGTAAGGACCTCGCTTTGTGCATGGGGCATTGTCATGCTGAAACAGGAAAGGTCCTTCCCCAAACTGTTGCCACAAAGTTGGAAGCACAGATGTCTAGAATGTCATTGTATGCTGTAGCGTTAAGATTTCCCTTCACTGGAACTAAGGGGCCTAGCCCGAACCATGAAAAACATCCCTAGACCATTATTCCTCCTCCAGCAGGTAGCGTTCTCCTGGCATCCGCCAAACCCAGATTTGTCCGTCAGACTGCCAGAACGCGTTTCCACTGCTCCAGAGTCCAATGGCGGCGAGCTTTACACCTCTCCAGCCAACGCTTGGCATTGCGCATGGTGATCTTAGGCTTGTGTGCGGCTGCTTGGCCATGGAAACCCATTTCATGAAGCTCCCGATGAACAGTTATTGTGCTGACGTTGCTTCCAGAGGCAGTTTGGAACTCGGTAGTTAGTGTTGCAGCCGAGGACAGACGATTTCTACGCGCTAAGCGCTTCAGCACTCAGCGGTCCCGTTCTGTAAGCTTGTATGACCTACCACTTCGCGGCTGAGCCGTTGTTGCTCCTAGATGTTTCCACTTCACAATAACAGCACTTACAGTTGACCGGGGCAGCTTTAGCAGGGCAGAAATGTTATTTTAATTTCACCTTTATTTAACCAGGTAAGCCAGTTGAGAACAAGTTCTCATCAGCGACCTGGCCAAGATAAAGCAAAGCAGTGCGGTAAAAACAACAACACAGAGTTACATATGGGGTAAAACAAAACAAAGTAAAACATACAACAGAAAATATATATACAGTGTGTGCGAATGTAGTAAATTATGGAGGTATGGCAATAAATAGGCCATAGTGCAAAAATAGTTACAATTTCGTATTAACACTGGAATGATAGATGTGCAAAAGATGATGTGCAAATAGAGATACTGGGGGCAAATTAGCAAAATAAATAACAATATGGGGATGAGGTAGTTGGGTGGGCTAATTTCAGAATGGCTGTGTAAAGGTGCAGTGATCGGTAAGCTGCTTTGACAACTGATGCTTAAAGTTAGTGAGGGAGATAAGAGTCTCCAGCTTCAGAGATTTTTGCAGTTCGTTCCAGTCATTGGTAGCAGAGAACTGGAAGGAATGGCGGCCAAAGGAGGTGTTGGCTTTGGGGATGACCAGTGAGATATACAGTGGGGGAAAAAAGTATTTAGTCAGCCACCAATTGTGCAAGTTCTCCCACTTAAAAAGATGAGAGAGGCCTGTAATTTTCATCATAGGTACACGTCAACTATGACAGACAAAATTAGATTTTTTTTGCCAGAAAATCACATTGTAGGATTTTTAATGAATTTATTTGCAAATTATGGTGGAAAATAAGTATTTGGTCAATAACAAAAGTTTCTCAATACTTTGTTATATACCCTTTGTTGGCAATGACACAGGTCAAACATTTTCTGTAAGTCTTCACAAGGTTTTCACACACCATTCCTCCATGCAGATCTCCTCTAGAGCAGTGATGTTTTGGTGCTGTCGCTGGGCAACACGGACTTTCAACTCCCTCCAAAGATTTTCTATGGGGTTGAGATCTGGAGACTGGCTAGGCCACTCCAGGACCTTGAAATGCTTCTTACGAAGCCACTCATTCGTTGCCCGGGCGGTGTGTTTGGGATCATTGTCATGCTGAAAGACCCAGCCACGTTTCATCTTCAATGCCC